CCCCAAAACCCCAAAACCCCAAAACCCCAAAACCCCTATTGGCTGTAATTATGTTGGCTATAATATAATTAACTAAATTCTAATAAATGGAAGATTACTCTGCAAATCTTTTAGAAACAATCACCTATTTTTACACTAAGGCGGCTCAAGAAAATAAGTTCAAAGAAACTGAGCAGAAGTTGATTGAATTTACTAGGTGTGAGGAAGCCTGGGAGGGCTGCTTCTTCATGCTAAATCAGCCTGATCTTAATGACTACCAAATGATATTCGCAGCTAATACACTCAAATCTAAAATGATGTTCGAGTTTGACAATTTTAAGAACAATCATCCAGAAGAAGCCGCCAGATTTGGGGAAGAAATCATTAAAATGATTAAAGAGTTTATTAATAATCGTTCAAGTAGACCGAACGAAGTTGTTATTAATAGCTTGTGTCTCTCACTAGCATTCTTCTCTATTCACCAAGATGCCCTTCCGGATATAGACTCTGAACTATGTTCAAACGTTGATGAAGTATGAGCCATGTTCACCGTACTCCGCTATCTCTCTGAAGAAACCTTTTTCAACAGAATCGTAGTGTAAGCTCCCATTTTAATCATATAGCAAAGAAGAAGTGGTCAACTCTTTCTTCAGAAAACTCAGAGAATTCTCACCAAATGTCTTTAGGCTGATTAATAAATGGGCAGAGATCATGCTCAACCCGAATAGCGAGGAGATCAAGCAGATTGATAGCAACAGAATCTCCAAACTGAAAAGTTCTATAGTAGAAGCTATCTTCTCCTGGGTCTTGATGGAAATTAAAGAGGAACATTTTCAAATAATTAGCCAAGAGTGAGAGTACCTGATACGCATTCTCTTCGATGAACTACAACAAGAAGGAGATAGTGCTTCAAATGCTTCTTCATGACTTGGAGAGATAATGATTCTCTGCAAAAGATTCAAGCACGAAGACCTCAAGAAGTTCCTCTTTGAAAGCATGGACTTGCTACTTCCAAAATTCCAAGAACTTTGTGAGATCGAAGACCTCCAAAGTATCGAGAATTATACAGAAATGTTCCTCGATTTTGCTGATTCTGAAATAGAATCCTGAATCAAGGGTCAGCACAGCCAGCTTCTGAATGCGATTATTATTGGATTTAGATTTGAAGGCAAGCATTTCAGCCAATGCTGAAAGTTCTTTGGCTACTTCTTCAATTACATCAGAGACAATTTTATGGAAGAAGAAAGAGAAGCTCTGCTTCCACAGATAAAATCAACCTTGGAACAGCTATTTGCCTGAATTGTTAAGAAGACGATTATGAAAGAGAATGAATTCCTTGAGATGAATGATAAGAATGATAGGCATGTAGATTTCGTAGAGCTCTTTGAAAACCGTGATAGAATTGGACATCTACTCAAACGCATTGCTCAGTGAATTGGATACCAAGAAATGTACAAAATGCAAATCCAGCAACTGCATGATACCATGACCGATGGGAACCTTGAAGATCTATCGACATTAAGAGAGATTGAGAACCTGCTGTTTTGTCTATCCTATAGCATTCAACTGTTTGAGAATTTCCAAGAAGTTCAAAATGTAAATATGCTTATGAGTGACTTACTTCAAACAGATCTTCCTAAAGCAACTGCTATCCGAAGGGCAATTCTAGACATCATCCACATAATTTCTGAATTCATGAAGGAAATGGATGACGAGACCTTACAAACTTATGTCAGATTCATAATGGATGGATTTAACGACCAGCTAACCCTAGAAGTTTCCTCCCAATGATTTAGCAATATGATTTTAAAATAACTTAGAAACATTTGGGCCTTATCTGGATCAATTTCTTGATCCAGCGAACATTACAGAATTTTCTAAGGTAATAGTAAGCTACAACCCAAGATGGGGAAAGATATTCACGGCCATTCTTACTCTATCATGTAGTGTGTATGGAAATACGCCAGATAAATTTAGAGAAAGTTTAATCCAGGTCTTATCTCCGTTTGTAACTATCCTCACACAGGAATCCATCGGGGCTGGCGAAGCCACCATCTGATTTGAATATATTGCAGATATATTTAGAGTGATCAATGATGAGAAGAGGTCTTATGGCATGATCAAAGCACCCTCTAGAGAGGTCCTGATAGAAATATTTCCTACCATTTTAGGATTGATTGAGAACTTTCATCAACAGGAGAAGCCCATTGAAGCAAGTTCAAGGGTTATAAAGTATTCCTTGAGGGCTTGAAATGATCATTCAGATGCTTTAGACCAACTAATCCAGACCTATGTTGAAAAGGTCACTGAACTATTTACAAGATACCCTTGTAGTTGGTTGATTTATCCTATATCCATCCTTGTGCCAATATTTGGAGCGAGGGTAAACTTCAGAGAGCTCTTTTGTAATATCAAGGAGCACCTACTATCCAAAGTTTTTGAGCACTTTAACTCAGAAGAAGTAATTAAGGCTGATCCTCTTCTCGCAGCTGATCTCTTTAACATGATGAGGAAATATCTCCAGGAAAACCCAGACTCGATATTCTGAGCAGGCTCTTTCAAAAACTTAATGGAATTCACTATTCTTTGTTGCCAAATTGAGCATCCTGAACTATCAAGACAATTAGCTGATTTTCAGATTGACATATTTATCAAGCTCAAGCGAATCCAGCAACAAGAGCTTGTTTTGGTATGCTCAGAGCAAGAAATGATACAAATTGCTGAATTTGCTTTTGAAAAGGGAGCCATAATCTTTGAAAAATATATCGAAGCCATTACAAAAGTTCCTCTTGAGGCGACCATTGACAATATGGTTGATTTCATGACAGAAATAGTGATATATTTCCCAGAGCAGTCGGTTCAATGGATAAACTCTTGCCTCGTCAATGTCCCACATAACATCCTCTCTGAAGATGAGAAGAAAGATTTCTGTGTTGACTTTGAGTATGGACCTGACTCAGAACTCAACATTCACAGGTCCTTCAAAATCTTAATGAAAAGGTCTAAGCAAGCTACTTTGCAGAAGCTTGATTAAGGAAAATTGTAGTTTTGTGAGAGGAAATATACCCATTATTAATATTTTATCGAGTAAGATATCAGAGCTCACAATATATCTGGTACTCCGGGGTTTTGGGGTTTTGGGGTTTTGGGGTTTTGGGG